CAGTGTCCTGAGTAGGTGGATTATAGGCAGGCGTCAAGAGCCCTGCTGATAGTCTGCATTGATTTGCATGACTTCCTCTTAATATAAGAAGTTATTTGGTATCTACTACCATACTCAATCACTTTGCATGGTCTAATTCTCAAGATAAATTTATGAGGCAAATGGTATTAGTAGCTCCATCTCTTGTCCCCAGTATTAGGGATTGAACAACTCAGGGGCACTAGACCACTGAGCCACATCCCCAGTCCTATTTTGTACTTTATTTAAAGACAGGGTCTCACTGAGTTGTTGAGTACCTCATTTTTGCTGAGACTGGCTTTGAACTTGCAATCCTCCTGCCACAGCTTCTGGAGCTGTTGGGATTACAGGCATGCGCCACTGCTCCCAGCAGTAGCCCATCTTAAAGGAGAGTACACTGAGTCTCAAACACCTGCCAGTAGGTGGTGGAAACAGGATTTAAATCCTGAAAACTTAAAATGGTTTGCATATCATCAATGAGACTCTTCTACCTCTTCCTAATTTCCTTCAGCTTTTCCTCTATGAGCCCATTATTCTTCATTTTCACATTGCTCTTTGCCAATCTGACAACTTTGTTGGAAAGACTTTCTGCTATCTACATATCAACTTGCATTAGACTGAACTCTTGACCAGTAAAATCCTGTAAGTTTAACATCATCAAAGCAACTATTTGGTCTTCTTATCCCTTAGAGACGTGAGAATCAATGGAAGCCTAAGTGCTATCAATTGCAATAAAAATCAAACTGCAGAAGCAGGTTCTCCAAGAGTCTGCTTTTCTGATGATACTAGCTAACAATAAGTTGTTGTTAATAATGTTATCAGACTGTGCTGAGCTCTTGCCCTGCACCATTTGGTGTTCACATAGAACCTGAGAAGAAGGCACCTTTACTGCTCCCATTTTACAATAAGAAAACTGAGATTAGAAGACTTCCCGTAAATTGCTCACCTAATACAATGAACACCTGGAATATCCATCATTTGAGACCCCGTCTGCTCAAATTCAGAACTTACTTTAACTACTGTACTACAATGTCTTCTCTTTTTAATAAACTTTATGATATCATTTGAAAATATCAGAATCCCATGCGAAAAAATACTCAACAATGGGTCCTAAATCAATTTTTTTTCATTTATATCATCCAATACATGACTATGCTTATTTACATTACATAACATTATAGATTAAATTTTATTTTTCTATATTTTTCATTAACATTCCATCAAGCATGCAACTCTGGCAATAAATTTGAAATCCTGAACAAATTGATGATTTCCTAGCAACATCAGTTGCCAAAATTGAATCAATAAGTAGAAAATTTGAATGTCTAGTTATCAATGAAAAGAAAACAAAGGTACTAGGATTAGGTGGGTTTTCAACTGAGTTAAACTAATCTTTAAATAATTGGTATTTCTGTGTTATTCAAAAAATTCAGAGATAAAAAGATGGACATTTATCCATCCATTTATGTGTACATTTTAATACTAAAATATAACAAATATGCTATAGCAAAGAAAAGCATAGTATGTTCTCAGAACAATTGCAATATTAGAAAATTGATTCTACAAAATAATAATACATTATAATCACAGAAGGTTTATTCCAGGAAAATCAAGGTGGTGAATATCAAGAAATGTATTTGTACAATACACGATATCAAGAAAATAAAGAATAAAGCATTTGCAAAATGCTGAACTTATTTGGAAATCTTAAGTAGAATTAAAGGTGAAAATAAACTACTAAACAAAGGAGAAAATATTTATTAAGTGGGTGATATTTAATATTTAAAGTAAAAAATGAGGCAGAAATTTCCTTGATTACTATTCTAATTTAACGTTAGCTTAGAGGTACTAACAAATAAAAAGACTCTAATGCATAATTCTGAAAAAGAGAAAAAACTGTTTTTGTTTTCATTTTTTATTTTTGGTACCAGGGATTGAACCCAGGGGCACTTAATGACCATTCAATGACCACATCCTCAGACTTAATTTTATTTTATTTTATTTTATTTTGAGATTGGGTCTTTCTGAGTTGCATAGGGCCTCACTAAGTTGCTGAAGATAACTTTGAATTTGTGATTCTCCTGCCTCAGCTTTCCTAGCTGCTATGTTTTCACTGAGGTATGCCACCACGCCTGGATGCAAATATTGATTTTTAAAGATTGTATATTCTTGCTTAAAAAAAACTTTAAATTTACAATAGGACTTATAAGTTAGGAATAGCTAACTATTCATAGAAATAGGAAGAAAATATGCCACACTAATAGAAAAAATAAATTGTAAAAGACTTAGAAATAAATTGTTAAAATGACATTATATGAGCATGATAAGTTATATAAATCTTATTACAATATCTAAACAAATGAAAGACATGCCATCTCTTTGGGTAGAAGACTTAAGGTCACAAAATATAAAATCTCCCTAAATTAATAAATAGAATAACATTTCAGTTAAATGTCAAGAGCCTTTCTTATGATCATAAAAACTGATTCTTAAAGTTTATATGGAAAAAATAAGCTTGAGATACTAGTCAAAAATTAAAAAGAAGAAAAGAAATATAAAGGAGAGCTGTTACTGGCCATGGGCATGACTCATATGCGCAGGGCCTCAGATGATTATAAAACTACAGTAAATAAATCAACATAACATTGGCCAGAAGAAATAATGACATTAAAAGAAGAGAATAGAAAATCTAGGAATACATCCGAGTTCATATCAAAATCTTAGCTCAGTTGGAACAGAACATATTTTTAATAAATGGTGTTAGAGCACTGGTTACCCATTTGGAATAAAATAAATTGGACCTTGACTTATATAATATATGAAAAGCTTTCCAAGTAGATTTAAGACTTAAATGTGGAAAATGAAGTAATAGAGCACTTAGAGGTTATCTTGAGGACAATTTTTACAATCCAGGGGCAGGAAAAGCCTTCTGACACAGGCTAAAAACTTCAAAGCTATAAAAGAAAAGATAGTTGCATTTGACTGCTGTCTTATACTACTGTCAGGTAAGCATGAATTTAATCTCCATTTGCAGAATGGAGACACAGGCAAGTTATGTCATCCTGCCTTGGGTCCTATATTGTAGGGCTGAGCTTCCAGCTCAGCCTTCCAACTTCAGTGTCTGGGCACGTAACCACTAACCCATGAGGTTGCATGATCCAAGGAAAGAATTAAGCAAACAAGATATTATAACAAAATACTTGAGACTGGGTGATTTATGTTTATAGTTCTGGAGGCTGAGAAATCCAAGTTCAAGGTCCCAGCACATGCAGTGTCTGGTGTGGTCTCATTCTCATGGATGGCACCTTCTTGCTGTGTCCTCATGTGGCTGAAAAGGCAAACAAGCTTCCTCATGCAACTATTATTAGGGCACTAATCCCATGCATGAAAGCTGTGGCCTTGTGTGTTAGTCACTTCTCAAAGTTCTCAGCTCTTAATACCAACAGATGGAAGATAAAATTAAAAATATGAATTTTGGAGGAGCATTAACATTCAAACCATAGCAACTCTATTAAAAAGTGAGCTGGGCGTGGTGGCACACTCCTCTAATCTCAGTAGTTTGGAAGGCTGATGCAGGAAGATTGCAAGTTCAACTCCAGCCTCAGCAAAAGCAAGGTGCTAAGCAACTCAGTGAGACCCTGTCTTTAAATAAAATAGAAAATAGGGCTGGGGATGTGGCTCAGTGGTTGAGTGTTATTGAGTTTAATCCCTGGTAACCCCTCCAAAAAATTGATAGTTTTGAATGACAAATCATATCATTAAGTAAACAGACAAATATTGGATTTAGGGCCCAAAAGCAAAGATCCTCCTATAAATGACACCAGGGTTAAGCAACATGGGAATTCATAAGAATTTTAACAGACAGTAAACCCCAAACCCAAAAAATTATGAAAAGATGTACAAACTGTTTAGTATCCAGGAAATAAAAATTTAAGCAGCAAGCTGTCACTACAGTATGGCAAAAAATGGGTTCGATCCTCAGCACCACATAAAAATAAACAAATAAAATAAAACAGATACAAACATTTTGGGGGGGGTAATCTAGAAAAAGAATAAAAATGGCCGAATCCTATAAATGAATATCTTTCTGAAGGAGAATAGTTGATTATGGTGCATCCACGTTGTACATTTTTATAGCATTTTTTTAAAAAGATGAATTAGAGTTAGTCCAATTGACTTGGCTTTATTGATACATTCTTTGAAAATGCAAAAAAAAAGAGTACAAAATAACCTATTTTTTTAAGTGAGAAAAGACAAAAACTCTGTATCTGTGATTATGACATAATCATGCAGAAAACTATGGAAGTGTACACATTATATTTTTAACAAGCGATAGGGGAGTATACAGGTGGAGGATTTTATTGACTAAACTGCAGGAAGAGAACAAGTGAGTAAGAGAATAAAAGATTCCACTAAGTTTATTATGTATACTAAGTTTATTTTATTTGTTTTTGTAAAAACTATGCCTATGGGTATATTTATAAAGAAAATATTTAAAGAAAGAATTAAAAATGTATAAGAATAACAGATATTTTCCTAACTTGATTTTACTACCATTTCTCTGTTGTGTTTGTATATATGTCTTAGTTCATTTTCTTTCTCCTTCCCAAATAGGTTAAAAACACTGATGGCCCTGAGTATCAGTCATAATCCTTCATCAACTATATTGTTATTTATCATAGTTAAAAGTAGAAGAATTAAGACTACAGTCATATAAACTATTGACATTTGCATTATGAAATTGTTAATTTCCTTGAGTCATATCAATTTCAGGTATCTCTCTTTTAAGTGCTAAAAGTTTTTCTTATTAAAGTCACAGATCCTATTCTTGGTTTCCAAAAGATGTACCATAATATTTGTGAATGAGTAACTCTGAAAGAACCAAATATCAGAATCAAAGTTCAGTATTTGCCAAGCTTTAGAGTCAGAGTCCAGTGTTCTTCCTGATCCTGTCTAACTAGAGAGAAGGGAGTGGTATGGTAGAAATCATTGCACCAGACCTCCAGTGCCAAGAGAGATCTCTTCACACACCAACCTCTTTGTGAGCGAACAGGACACCAGCCCCACCCAAAATACTGTTAACCATTGACTGAAAGGCCAGAGGGGACACTGACATCCTGTCAATCTTCTAGAAGTGAAATAAGGAGGGCTAACATGGACACTGCTCTTCTTATGTGCCAGGAACTGGGCTAAGTCTTTTACTTAATCAATTCATTGAATCCTCATGATGGCTCTGTCAGGTAAGTATGATTTTAATCTGCATCTGCAGAGGAGATACAGAGAAGTTATGTAATTCTGCCTTGGGTCCTACATTGTAGAGTTGAGCTTCCAACTCAGCCTTCCAACTTCAGTGTTCGGGCATTTAACCCCGACCTATGCTGCTGTGTGATCCAAGGGAAGCATTAAGCAAAAAAAGATGCAAGTTCAAAAGATGTTGATTTTCAGATGTAGGATGATTGGTTTGAAACATTGTAGCCTGTTTCAGTCCCCCAGTGTCCAGCAGTAACTTCCTCCAAATAACTCAATATAACCATTCAGATGGATATTTACTTACCTGAGCAGACTCAGAATAATGAAAATCTGCCCTATTTGGTGGAACAGATATTCTTTATAACTTTTATTTATTTTTGACATGCATGTATTGAATTGCACTCTTATGGTTTTATCTAATCCTTATTGGCTATAAAGCTGATTTTACCCACAGTAGATTTGTCAGGCATGATTCTTCTTAGATTTGGTTGGAGTCATGGTAATGACACTTCCCCAAAGTTTCTTCATCAGCATTGGTAGGAAAAGAAGAAATTCACTTGGCTGGTGACAAGCTATGAGGAGCTTCAGGGGAGGTGCTGGAGATTGGAGAAAGAACAGGAAGTACCCCCATGTGTTCCTACACTACTGTGAGCTCCACTCAAGTAGAACAGATCCCTGTCCTGGGATGGAGTCCTTCCTATACACTCTCAGAATAGCCCTCCTCTCTTACCTTCATTTACATAAAATAAAACTGAGTTTTCACTGAGGCTTTCATAAGAGACACAGTAGAGACATATTTATAACACCACTCAGAATTTTACTTTTAAATAAATCACCCCTCAGATTTGTTTCTTCTTTCTCAAATTCTTCTCTGGACTTGTTTCTGGGTTTCATATCTTTCTGAAGATCTCTCCCATTAGGCCGCCTCCAGTTTCTTCCATGTTTCCAGAAACTTCTCCCTTCCGTTTTCTCATTTCTTACACAGAGCCAACATTTCAGCAGTGAGAATAAAAAGCCATTATACAAAGGTTGGCTTTGAACTCCAAACAAAAGAAAACAAAGATATCCCAAACTATTTGATTTCATCCTCCCTAGAATATGGTAGGGCAAAAATGTAATTTTTCCCCACCACAAAATGTATTTCTTGTCACTTTCTAAAAAAAAAAATATTTATTTTGTTATAGATATAGGTGGATACAATACTTTTATTTTATTTTTATGTGGTGCTGAGGATCGAACCCAGTGCCTCGTGCATGCTAGGTGAGCTCTACCGCTGAGCCACAATCCCAGCCCTTTGTCACTTTTTTTAAACATCTTATAAGTATTCATTTATATGTGCTCAACTGGTGGAAAAATAAATTCTATGTGTACAAGTCTTCCATTGTAACTGATACTTTTCTTCAAAGCCCAAAATTTTGAAAAGTAGAATTATCTTAAGAACAGGCTGCAGTTGTTCCAAGGGCCTGATGAGATCTAGCCCTGATTATTATGCAAAGACTGCATCTTAAAGAAACAAATCATGTTTGGCTTCACCAAACTAATCATAATCCAGGCTTTTATTTCCCTGTTTCCTGGGAATATTGACCTGGTTTCAAAGAAAAGTTTCAAATATATTTTAAGTAATAACTACATCATTGCAATAAGTGTAGAGCCTTGGGTAAAGTCTGGATATGCACAACACAAATTTGGATGTATAGATTTCTTTGTGCTTTTTAATAACACCATCAGTCCTTTTAACTATGGTCACCCCTCATAGGTTGCACATTCCCTATGGGCACTGAAATTAAAGAAGAGGTAAAATACATCATCATTTGCTGTTTGGATCTAGAAGGGAACAGAGTAAAGAGTATAAAAGCATGTAAGTATTACCAGGAACAGAAAAAAAATCATTAAAAAATTCATAACCAATTAGGTGTCTGCATGCACGCTAATTACTATCTGCTAGAGGTGTGCCATCGAGAATGGCAGGCTTGTCTATGTGAATGGGGAAAGTGTGAATGAGTGAGCATGCTTGTTCGTAGGTAGAACAAATTCTTATCTCACAGGTTCAAATTCTCCAGGCTCATGAATATGACACATTAATATTCATTAAGTGGAACACATTATCATTTTAGAAGGAGATTACTGGGGACTCACTATTTTCATTCCATCACATTTTCCAATTAGGAATCCCACTTTTGCAAATAATCAGCTTTCTGTTGCCAAGGGCTTTTCAGCTGCTTTCTGGCAAGGGGGTTTGGAGCTAAGTTCAGCATCCATTTAAGAATGAGGAAAAAAACCTGAAGTACAATTATATGTTTTAATGACAGGTTAATCTTGCTGCGGTGAACCTGATCAGAGAAGAACCAAACTCAGAAAGGAGAAGGCATGAACTCCTTTTGGGGAAAAGGAGCACAGATAATGAAGCTTGAGGAGTTCACAGTTTTACTGGTCGCCTGCAGTTACAGAGAAATAAAACTCACCCTGTAAAGATCTTGGAACTCTCATTGATCCAGGAGAAGCCATGTAAAAGGAGACCTAGGGCTATGGAAATGAACCAAGTTCAGGGTTGACAACCATCCATGAAGGCTGATAACAGCAGGGAAGGAAACAATGAACGAATGTGTGCATTTCCTCCAGATTTGGAGGAAAGTTAGACAATTTTGTTAGGCTTTATGATTTTGTTAATGAATTAACCAGAAGAAACAGTAGTCAAAGACCAATTTGATTTTGAAAAGAGCCAAATAAATTTGGAATAAACTGTTTTGATATATCAATGTTTATTAAGCTTTATCTGTAATTGAAACAAACTTTCTAGATAAAGTTACTTGATTTCTATTTAAACTACATGCTCAAGAATTCACTATGAGAAAATCTCTAAGATTCTTTTTCTGATGAAAAATAATCTGTTGTTCTACGTTTGTATATGTACAAAGAATTATATATATATATATATATATATATATATATATATATATATATATATATATATATATATGGCAAAAAGGAAATATATGTAAAAAAAATTTAAAAAAGTGATAGTTTCCCCCAAATAGCCCCCTAGTTCCCAAGCCTCCTTCCCAGAAGCAACCACATAACTAGTTTCTTGGGTCTTTTTTTCAGAAAGAGAATAGGCACATATGAGCAGAAATATACTTGCTTCCTCCTACAAAATTGGGAGCAAGCTCTATGCACTCTGCTTCCATAATTCCACTAAGCATGTATTCTGGAATAACTCTATATCAACATTTATAATGACTCATTGCTGGGGAAATAGACTGCAGGAAGACAATCTAAAAAAATTCCAGTAAATAACAATAACAAGCCCAAAGAGGGTTCAGAACTCAGAATCCAGAGTTTTCAAAAAATTCTAGCTAAAATATTCAGTTTCCAACAAAAAGAATTTGAAACATGCAAAAAAAAAACACACAGAAGTTTGACTTGCGCATAGGGGGAAAAAAAAAACACAGTAGGTAACATGAGCTGAATGAGTAGCTGTCAGATTTAACAGAAAATGGCCTAAAGAGAACTAGGAAAAACTGTGATTAAAGAAGTAAAAGAAAGTATGAGAACAAAACTTCATCAAGCAAGAAATACCAAAAAAAATATATAAGTCATATTTTAAATAATGAAATGGAAATTCCAGAGTTTTAAAAAAGTACTATATCTAAAATGAAAAGGCACAAAAGTGTGTCTGAATAGTTGGAAAAGTTAGTGAACTTGATTAAAGAAGCAGAAAAAATAAATTCTTCAGAGAAATGCAGGATACCACTCTGCAGAGCAACATGTATACACTGGGAATATTTATTTCATAGATACAGTAAAAATAAGGATATACCCAGATAAAGAAAAATCTGAGATAATTTGCTGCAAATGGACCAGCTTCACAACACATATTAAGGAAGTTTTTCAAGCTGAAGTAACAAAGAAATTGAGGAAATTCACAAGTATATGGAATTAAAAAGCGTACTCTGAAATAACCAATTGGTAAAAGAATAAATTGTGAAGGAAATTAGAAAATACTGTAGATGAATGAAACAAAAACATAATATACCCAAATTTATTGGATATAGCATTGAGAAGAAAATTTATATCTGTAAACAACTACATATTAAAAACAGGATATCAATTCAATAAACTAATCTTCTACCTTGAGGATACTAGGAAAATTAAAGCAAATGAATCTTATAGCAAGAAGAAGAAAGGAAACAATAAAGGTAAGAGCAGAAATAGAGAATAGAAAAGCAATGGATAAAGTCTGTAAATCTAGAAGTTTACCCTCTGAAAACATCAAATCAATTTTAGGAACAAGTACAACAGATATTGAGACAGAGAGGAAAGACTCAAATTACTAATATTCAAAATAAAAAAGGAGACATTATTGCCAAATTTATAGAAATGAAATGTTATAAGAGAATACTGTGAACAATTGTATGCCAACAAATTACACAACTGAGATAAAATGAATCAAATCCTAACAAGACACAAACTACTGAAACTATGTCAGGAAGAAGTAAAAAATCTGAGTAGACCTACAAAAAGTGACAAGCTTAAAAGAGTAATCAAAAACTACTTAGAAAGATAAACCCAGGCCTAGATTGTTGCTCTAATAAATTCTGGCAAATATTTTTAAAAGAATTAATATCAATTCCTTACAAACTTTTCTTAAAACACATGAGAGTGTCCTTCTCAATTGTTTCTGACATCAGTATTGCACTGATACCCAAATCAGACAAAGATACTGCAAAAAAACTGTAGACTAATATCTCTTATGGATGTAGATGCACAGAAAAACATGGTCGAGGAAACACTAGGAAACCAAACCGAATCACCTATGACAAGGGTTATTACACTGTGTTTATGTGCATGAAATACAAAGTTAGTTTAACACCCAAAGTCAATAAAACATAACATAGTAATAAAATAAAATATTAATAATGTATCATTATCTCCACAGATTTAGAAAGAAAAATTTAAAAACTTTAACAGACTTCCATAATAAAAGTATGCAATGCCCTTGAATATCCATAACTAACACCTGGCTCAATGGCAAAAGCCAAATACTTTTCTTTAAGATTAGGAACAAGGATAAGATGCTCATTCTTATCATTTTTTTTCCAGTACTGTATTTGGAGTTCCAACCAGACAAATGAAACAAGAAGAAATAGTAAACATCCAAATTAAAAAGAGAGATCTTATTCTCTCCAATCACAGATAACGTGTGTGTGTGTATATATGTATATGTATGTATATATATATATATATATATATATATATATATACATATATATGTATATATATGTATATATATATATGCATATATATGTGGAAAGAAATATAATGCACATACATATATACACATAAAGAATTATAATAAATATATGTGAAAAGAAATGCATATATATGTATACATACCAACATATATATAAAGAAATGTAATAAATATATTTAAAGAACTCTGTCATTAAAAAATGAAAAGAAATCTACACATCCACATTTTGTGTGTGTATATGTGTGTGTGTGTGTGTGTGTGTGTGTATATATATATATACATATATATATATGCATGATTGTGTAGTTTGTATGTATATCTGTATATATACACATACATATATACATGATATATTGTGTATATATATATATATATATATATATATATATATATACATGCATATATATATATATATATATATTCTAAGGAATTCACTAAAGCCATAAAGACATTCAATAACATAGAAGGATACAATTTAATAAACCCAAATTCATATACTATATACTCTCAATAAAAAAAATCTAAAAATTAAATTAAGAAAACAATTAAATTTAAAATAGCATCCAAAAGAATTCAATTTCAAAGGATAAATGTCACAGAATATATACCCTGAGAAATGCAAAACATTTTAAAGATATTTAAAATATCTCAATAAATATAGTGGCATTATTGTTCATGAATTAAAAGACATAATATTGGTAAGATAGCAATATTTCTCGAATTGATCTCTACTTTGACATAATTTCTAAAAGAACGCCAGTTGACTTCTCTGTAGAATTCAGAAGCAGACCCCCCAAATTTATGTGGAAACTCAAGTCCTCAGTTTAACAAAAACAACAACAACTCTTGTTTAAGAAGATAATATGAAGAACTCAAGAGTTTCTGATTTCAAGAGCTACTGCAAAGCAACAATAAAAAAGATAATGTATTTCTGGCAATAATACAGACATATAGTTCAATAGATTAGAACTATAATTCTAAAATAAATCCAGATTATCTGTGCTCAATTGATTTTCAACATTTTATTATGTTGAGTGTGTTTAATGGGAAATGAATAGTAACTTCAGTAAATGGCGCTGGGTCAACTGCATATGCACATGGAAAAGAAGGATCTTACACCCCTACCTCACATTGTATAAAAAAAAAAAATTAACTCAAAATAGATCAAAGTTCTAAGTAAAAGAGCTAAAGCTATATAACTTTAGGATAAAGCACAGGGGTAAATCCTCATGACATTTTATTTAGCAATATTCTTAGAAATGTAACTAAATCACAACAAAAAATTAAACAATAAATAAATTGGACTGCTTCAAACTCAATCTTTTTCTTTTACTTCAAAGGATATCATCAAGAAAGTGAATAGAATTCAAAGAATGAGAGAAAATATTTGCAAACTAAATCATTTATTCAAATCGAAATCACCATAAGATATAACTTCATGTCCGAGATGGTTATGATCAAAAAGACATTTGGCTTTTATGTGGATAAATTAAAACTCTCACCAATTGCTGGTGGAAATGTGAAATGGTACAGACACTTAGGAAAAGTGATTAACAATTGCTCGAAAATTTAGATATAAAGCTTCCATTGGACCAAGAAATTCCACTTACACATGCAAGAGAGATCAAAACATACCTCTATACCAAAACTTGTACATGAATATTCCTATCAGCATGATTTTTTTTTGGAGGGGTACCAGGGATTGAAGTCAGGGGCACTTGACCACTGAGCCATATCCTCAGCCTCCCAAGCTGCTGTGATTACAGGCCTGAGACACTGCATCTGCCTCAATGTGATTCTTAATAGCCAACAGATGGAAACAACCCACATGTCCATCAATTGAACAATTAATAAAACATTGCTAAGTTGCTGAATTAATGGATCCATACCATTAAACATTATTCACCCATAAAAAGAACAAAGTCCTAATAAATTCTACAACATAGAAAAATCTTAAAAACATTATAGCAAGTGAAAAAAAAATCAATCACAAAAGACCACATATTGTTCAATTTTATTTATACAAAAGATCCAGAACAGGGAAATCTATAGATACAAATCATTAGTGGTTGCCCAGGACAGGGATAGTTGGGGTAGAATGAAGAAGTGGGTAGGGAGTGACTATTAATGAGTGTGGAGTTTCCTTTTGGAGTGATAAAAAATGTTCTAAAACAGAATGTGGTGTTCGTTGTAAAACTGTGAAATACACCAAAAAACATGATTATGTACTTAAATGATCAAATTTTATAGTATATGAATTATACTCTAATACATGTTGTATATATACTAAGCATTTTGTGTATATGTTTATATAAAACCCACAAATAAATTTATGTTCATTGTATATACATGTATATACTATACTATATATATACATACTATAATACATATACACACACTATATATATATGCCTGCTCTATATGTAATTATATATTCTACACAATTTTAAATAATGCAACTGATTATATAAAAGAGAGACTAAATGAATAAAGCACAAGGAAATAATATGTAGTTATAAAATATACATAAATATTACATATATTAAATATACAAATTATTATTATTATTATTATTATTATTATTATTATTGGTACCAGGAATTGAACTCAGGGGCACTCAACCATTGAGCCACATACTCAGCCTTATTTTGTATTTTATTTGGAGACAAGGTCTCACTGAGTGACTTAGCGCCTCACCATTGCTGCGGCTTCCTTTGAACTCGAGATCCTTCTGCCTCAGCCTCGCAAGCTATTGGATACAAATGATTTTTATTTGCAGATAGATTTTCCCCTTGTTAGAATAGTCTATAATCTTTTAGCAATAGCCTTCTTTTTAACTAACATAAGTTTTTATTGTGTGTGTATATATATTTTAACTCTTATCCACCCAAACTTTCCCATCTTTGATCTATATTCAAATTTCGAGGAGAGAGATGAGATTATCAATTTCATAGGAGGGAAGAATGTCATTATGTGTACCTAGAAAATAATCACTCTTGCTTTCCACCAAAAGATTTAAAACTCTGAAGACATTTTCCCATTGGTTACCAAGTCCAGCACTGTGAATGAAGCACATTTTAGTGAATGAAATCCTATTTTTTTTTTATTTTACTCTTTTAGACCTACATGTAAACACTAAGTAGGCTGAGGACACAATTCTAAATTACACAGCTGATTATTTAAGACGGTGTCTAAGTGAATAAAACACAAAGAAAGAATTACAACTATTTACACAGAATCCATCAAAGTTTCATTGGATAATTAAGAGTTTGCCTACTCCACTGTGGGGAAAGTTGATTAATGGAATCACAGAAAATTAGAGCTGGGAGAAACCCTAGAGATCATCCATTCCAAATGATTAATTTTAGAAAATGAAGATACCAAAACCAAGAAAGGGGCAATGTTCTGCTCAAGGTCATCTGAGCAAAGGTAGGCCACATTTTCAGACTTTTTTTTTCTGAGATATATTATACAGCTATAGGTGAGATAAGTTCAAAATTATGTAGATTAAAAAAGGCTTTGGGGGAAGGATCAAAGACTATTCTAACGTGGGGAAAAATCTACCTTCAAATAAAAAATCATCTGTATATTTAAAATACTGGCCCATTATTAACAGAAGCCAACTAATTAAATTTTCATCATGTTCTATGCAGAGTGTTTCAATTCATGTCCATGAAGAGTAGAAAGGAAGGAAAAGAAACTTGGTATTAATGACTTTGGCAGGGGACACAGCTGAAACAGAGCCTGGAATATCTAGGGAAAAAAATCCAGATTTATCAAGGAGGTGGGAAGTAGCTCAGGGAAGTTGCTCAGTACCTAATTCTAATGATTAGGAAGGTTGTCCTTACACTGATGAAGAAAACTTATTTGTTGAAACTCTAGACCATTAATTCTAGTTCTTCCTTCTGGATCAATGTAGAGTAAATTTGTTTCTTTTACCACAGATTAGCCTTTAATATTTAAATAAAATTTCCTATATTCCTTCAATTGCATCTACTGATTTAATCAGCTCCAAGTCTGTGTATAAATCCTCATGTAGAAAGACTTTCAGAATATCCACAATCTCAGCCAACCTTCTGTGTTGAAAGAAATTTTTAGCCCAAATCCCCTAATTTAAACTCTAAACACAGACATAGAATCAATGATGTTTCTGATGGGCTTTTTGTTGTTGTTTGGTAAATATAATAAGAAACATAACAAAACTAAAAGTGCTGTTTATTGCAATCCAAGGTCAATTTTCATATGACCAGTGTATGTTCTTTACTTCAGAAAGTCCCTGGAGAGAGAACTCTGGGATTATTCTATATCTTGCAATTATATTAGCTTATTAGAATGGTTTAGAATGAGTGTCTCATGTTTATGAACTGGATGTTCAGAAATGATAATGATCCTGTACATTTGAGATATCTTGAGAATAACATGGCCATGGCTACTATGTTTCCAGATATTAGATATAGAAACTATAAAGACAGAAGTGACAGAAATTCAGAAAAGAGGGAGTCTAGGAAGGTCACGGGGTATGAATTAGGGACAGGACCATATATGTATGATATTCACAACAGTGTCCTAATGCCAGATCTTTGTTCATGGGCTCTAATCTATGCCCACTTTACATCTGGTCTAACAATTATTTATGGCATAGATATTCTTTTGGCAGAGAATATTTAATTGCTTATAGATTCATAACTAACAGGGGCCAGACTAAGAGTCAAAAGCAGCTCTATCTAACCCAAAGCATTACTCTTTCTCCAAGATCATAAGAGTGTCCAGGTCCAGCCTCTACCTATATGGGTTAAGAATATACTCATCCCATGAAACCATCCTAGGTACCCTTCAACAGATGAAGGGATAAAGAAAACGTGGTATATACACACAATGGAATATTACTCAGCCTTAAAGAAGAATAAAATCACAGCATTTACAGGTAAATGGATGGAGCTGGAGAATATCATGCTAAGTGAAATAAGCCAATCTCAAACAACCACAGGCCAAATATTTTCTCTGGTATATGAATGCTAATTCACAATAAGGGGAGGTAGCTAGGGAAGAATAGAGTTACTTTAGATTAGGTAGAGGGGAGTGAAAAGAGAGGAGTGGGGACAGGGGTAGCAAGGATAGTAGAATGAATCAGACATTATTAGTCTATGTACATATATGACTACACAATTTGTATAATTCTACATCATATATAATCAGAAGAATGAGAAATTATACTCCATTTATGTGTAATGTATCAAAGTGCATTCTACTGTCATTTAGAACTAATTAGAACAATAAGAATATAATACATTGATCCTGTATCTTTTGGACAATGGAGAGTTATGAATTACTCCCACAGTTGTGGGCTAGAGACACACTGAATCTAGCCATGAATCAGTTGTCCCACTACTTCTGTGGCATAAGACAACTATGGCTCTACCTAAAGCCATGGTGATTCCTTTATTCATACTTGACCAAATATGCATAAGTTACTTTAAACTTACGTTTTGACTAGAAATGGAATGACTTAGTAATGGATCGATTTCATGCCCTTTCAATGAACTTTAAAAATAAACCAACCCCCAAGTCACGTTAACAATTTAAGTTTATAACAGATATAGCACAGATAAACTCCTTATTTTAGTTATGCAACGTTTGTTTGAAAAAAATCAATGTATAATAGTGGGAATGGAAAAAAGAAGGAAAAGAAGAAGGAGAAAATAAAGGAGGGAGTGAGGGAAGGAAGCTAAAAGAAACTAGAGAGGAGACATTTCTGAGGGACTGCACAGCAACCAGGACCTCAATATCATCCTCCTGTAAGTTCTGCACACCCACGGCCCATGGAAACACAGCCTCTTTCTATCCCTGAGTTTACAGAGATGTTATGGTGTGACGATAATTGATATTTGTATAGTACTTTACTATCTTGATTTTTAAAGGCATTTTCACATTATATGCTCCTCATGGAAATCCTGTGATAGGCAGAGTAAAGATTTTGATCCCTGCTTTAAATGTGAATCAGAGTCTCAGAAAGACCTTCTCTTTATCCTTCTCCCTCCCTCCCTCCCTCCCTCTCCTCCTCTCTCTCTCTCTCTCTCTCTCTCTCTCTCTCTCTCTCTCTCTCTCTCACACACACACACACACACACACACACACATGTACACACATACATTAAACTGGCAAGTACATAAGGACAAAGGCTCAAATCATTAGACTCTGACTCTGACTCTAGATTGACTCCCCTTACTATTCTATCCAGACAAGTTTTTTTGTTTTGAAGCATTACTTTGCTATCAATCATTTATTCATACTTGACCAAGTATGCATAAGGAGGTACAAGGTTCCAAGATTACTGTAGTGAAATGGATAAAGTCATTGCTCCATATGCAATAAGTCAGAAGTTAATAAATATTCTGATGAAAAGGGAAAAAAAGCCAGATAAGAGGGACAACGAGAGTAGAGGTCTACGGGAAGATATCATTTTATATACTTAGAAATAGAATCTAGTTTACACGTGGGTAGAACACAATCCCTTTAGTTGGGGAGAGGGGAGAGAAATTTCATTTTCAAGAACAACTCGTGTAATGAAATAATCTCACACAGGCAGGGTGGGGTATGGTCCTCCCATCCCTGCAAAAGGGGTATACATTCAGAGTGGACCACAGAATTCCAAAGAGATCCTAATTCAGAAAGACCTGTTGCCTCTCTTTGCCTCATTTCTCAAACCTGAAAGAGTACATTAAAGATAAGGAATATCCCTGGAAACTAAGGCTATGTCTAGACAGAGCTTTACAGAGAGAAATAAATTGTACATAAAAGAAGTGCTTGTCATAAGAACAGTAGGCATGGGATTCTAGAACACACCAAGGTTTACATTACCACCATGGCTCCATGTATCATCTGTCACTTTCCAGAGGAAGACAGGCATCAAGGGAGTGACAGATTATGGGCCTGATGAAAGCCCTCCAGCTGACCAACATCATTACCCTCAGCCAGCTCTCAGCCATCCGTCAGTGTTCAGAAGCAGGCACCTTGGAGCCTATGTGGCGGCTTGTTCAGAACGCCTCCCCGGGTTCATCCTGAGCAAGTCATGCTGAAGTCTTCATATGCCCAACAGAGAAGTAGAGAGGCTACTGACAACCATATCCTATGGCACACAGATGTAAGAGATTACATAATCTGGAAGTTAAAAAAAAAAAAAAGGAAAGGAAAAGATATCTCTTTAAAAAGTACTCAACACATATTTATAAACAGTCCACTAAGCCCAAAAGCACCTACTATGCATTGTATCATCATCTAGATATTTACCACAGGCCTTCTCTACCTGATGACCCTTTAATGTTGCATATGGCTTCTAAGTTTGTATTCACCAAAGAATTTTATCTTTTAAAACAGAAAAGGAAAATATGTTGTGTGCTCCTGTTGATAGTGATCCATCAATCATGCCTACCTGGAGTACCAGCTGGAAGAGCATCCAGACGCATTGGGCTCTTTGGAAACGACCGCCATAATTGATTAGCGATGTCTGCCACAGACAGCCTCGGGAAAGAAAGGCTTCAGAACCAGAACTGTGATTTAGAAGTGTGTTAGAGGAACAGCAACGAAACCGTGGATTCTCACATAGTTTCTAAAGGACTCAGAAACATAGTGGTGATCATGCCATTTTGAATATGAAATCTAGTTAAGGATTCACAAAGTCAAGATTAAACATCATACATTTGAGAATGAAAATAGTAACTCATTGAGTCATTTTGGTTAAACAGTCTTGGGTTCACATTCTGTGCCTGTACCTTCCTCTGGGTAACTTATTTACTGTCCACACTACTCAATTTACTCTTGTGCTGATAATAATGAAAATACGTACCCCTAGTGATGTGAAGATTAAATGAGGTCATGACTACAAGTGAAATGTACAGACAGCACCTGGCAGAAGGTAGGAGGCTTAATAAATGGTAGCTATTACTACACTTAATCATAATTTAAGGCAAAATAAATCATTTTCTTTCTGGTGCTTTTAAAACACTGTTGAAAACTCTGCTGTGGAATTATTGCACTACATCGCAGTTTGGGTTTTGTTTTGTTTTGTTTTGTTTTTTGCTACTTGTCTTTCTTTTACTGTGAGCTTTATGGGAACAGGAATCATGGCTTGTTCATCATCGATCCTTGGGATATAATTCAGTGTCCAGCAGAGAGTAAGCAGCAAAAAGTGTTGGCCTATGAAAGGAAACAGCAATTGAAATGGGTAAACTATTATTTGCAAATGCATGTTCCTCATTTGTTAGAAAGTTTAATTGAAAAGTATAGCTCAGATACCGAAAGAATTCTTTATTAAGTTTTGTGTTTTTATTTGAGGCTATTCTAGCTGTGGCTGGGTAATGGAATAATCCTGCCACAGAGGAAAAAGTTAAAGCAAAGAGACAGATATTTCAGGGATCCTGTTCCTATATTCCATTTATTGTCACACTGACCTATAAGTTATACACAAGTTATGGTGACCATATGACCCTTATTTCCTTTGTCAAGCCTGACTTCCAATACTTTGTTGCAACATTGTATAAGTAAATATATACTTGTCACATCTTAAGTTTCAGTCTTAAATTCTGAGTACCTGGTCATTGTAGCCATTTGCAAAGACCCAGAGTCTAGGCCACTTGAATATTCTCTCCCATCTGAAGCAGACCATATTCTGCCTGAAAGTGTTGAGTCCTGGATCTCAAATATATGTATAGTTTCTATATTTCGTGTGGAGAAAGGCATTTCTTTCTTCTTTTGTAAAACCCCTATTTGCTTCATTTGTTTTTACATTTTCATTCTTTGTCTGAATCATCTCCTGTGTCTTCTTGTTACTATAATCTACTTTATTTTTAATTATCTTGGGTTATTTAAATGGTCATTTAGTTGACTCTTCCAGTTCCCCGATGTCTCCATTCCTTATCTCCTTGTCTCCTGTGTCTCTCTTTCCTCTTCTCTGCTAGTCTTCAGTTCTCATGCATTATCTCTTAGACCTTGCTCATCCCCCTCCATTTCTTGATAATGAAATTCAGATAACCACATTTGTCCTGTCTTCTTTCATTCAGATATAGTTTGGTTTGTATATGATTTGTCCCCTCCAAAAACTCAGGTGGAAGTTTAATTTCTATCATGAGGAATTAAGGGTATGGAAATTAAATTTAGCTCTAGTACTTGGAGGTACAGCCTTTGGGAGATGATTAAGCTAAAATGAAGTCTTTGGGATGGAACGGCTCAGATGGAATCCCAGTGGTCACATGAGAACAAAAGAGACCAGAGCTACACACAGGGGTACACTCCGCATCTCTTGTCATGTGACACCCTATGCTACCTTGGAACTCTGCCAGCAAGAAGGCCATCACCTACTGCAAGCCCTCAACACTGGACCAGAACAGAGGGCCACAAAAAACCTTTGTTCTATTAGCAACAGGAAGCAAATGAAGACAAAGTTCTTCCAATTATTCCCACAAGTAATTTTCTTTTTATCTCTCTCTCTCTCTTTTTTTTTAATTTATGAGAACGTGCAGTTCTTTGACCTCTCCTCATTGTACAAGTCTCTTTTCTTCCCTGTGCTTCCTATTTTGCTAAGAGTCCAAAGCACAGAAATTCCCGTGCTTTTACCAATTTCCTAAGCTCCCTGTTCCCAGTGACTTTTGATCATGGAAATCCGGCCACGGTTCTTCTGGATGCCATCCGCTGCCTTGCAGGTTCACCTCTGAATACAGACAAATGCATGCTGCTGGAGAAAATTCCATGACTAAACACATAAGCATTTGTAAATGTATGGTCACCAATAACTGCTGACACATGACGACCCACTCTTCCCTTCCCCATAGCCTTATTTCTAAGCCTCCCACTCTCCCCAAGACAACTGTTTCCTCCTCCCTCTCCTCCAGCCGACATCTTCAGCTGCTGTTGCACAGAGAAAAGACATAACTCCAGAAGAGACATTTCACTTCTCACCTCAACTCCTGTGCCAACACCTACTTTTCCTCCTTTATTCCTATGATAAAGGGAAGAGTTAGAGGCAATAAATTCAGCTGCATTTCTAGATCCTGTCAATTCTGATAACCCGGAGGATTTTACTCCTTTAGTTTTCCTTTCTCCTCTGTGATCCATGCCTCAAGCATTACTAGATCCTTCTCACAACCACAAAACCTGCACCAACTCCTCCCACGCTCCTCTTAAGGTCCATCCAGCTGCTTCTTATGTTGCTAATTGGCTCTTCTCTTTTATGTAAATCTTACCATAAGGTAGGAGGTAGGAGGCTTAATAAATGGTAGCTATTACGACACTTAATCATAATTTAAGGCAAAATAAAAGGAATTGTCAGCAATTGTGGTTGTTTTGTTCCACCTCCCACTCACCTGTTGAGCAATTATATTTTACTGAGATCATCCACGACCAATGTGTGGGGGAAGCCTGTTGCTCACAGTCCCACGCTGGTTGCTCCACAGGGCCAGTGCTCTGTGTTTCCATATAGAAATACTCCTTACCCTTCTCTTCAGCACTGCAAGATTTTGTTGGGTTTCCTTTCATGGCTCTGAGCATTCCTAAGGCTATCTCTTTTGTGAGATCCTCTTTCTCTAACCAGTCTTCCTATATCGTTGTTCTTTAATGTTTTAATCCTGGTCCTCCACGAAGCAGATGGATGAGAATAAACATTTTAAAAATACATTTATTTTCAAAATTTTAAAAATAGGGGAGCAGGCTACAAAAAAAAAAAAATTAAGGAGGGAGCCCAGGGACAGAAATCCAAGTCTGACTTTGAGTGATGGGAAGAGGAAAGAAAAAAAGGAAGGCAGTGAGGGAGGAAGAAAGACTGAGCAGAAGGGTTTAGGACTGTGGTATGCTTATAAGGAAGCTTGATAAAGGCATTGAAGGGTCCGCAGGTCAAAATCTTCTCTTAGAAGATTCCCCCATCACCCAGAAATGGACATGCTTACGTGACCCTGCTGTCACTCATTGCCTGGATGCAGCCCAAGGGATCTGTGGCTTTGTACACCAAGCTATGGATTTCAGAGCACATCAGCAGAAGCCCTCAGCTTCCCGCAATTGGTGGTCTGAGTGGTAGATTCACATGGTTGCCACACTCCAGGGTCGTACTAAGTCCTTGTTCATTTTTTATTTTAGAGCGATATGCAGAAAATTCAAGTAGTAGGGCAACTTGTTGAATGTGACTAGGTGGGTAATAATTAAGTTATCATTTAAATTAAAATCTCAAGTCTTCACATAAGAGTTGAGGATAACAACATGCTAAGAAACAAATATCAGGTACAAAACCTGTATGATAAGAAGGAGTTTGATTGAGCAAAATAATAATAATAATAATGCTAATTTTCTTAAATGATACTCACTATGCAAAAAAATAAATGGTGCAGTCAGAGAAGAAAGCAGGTGCAAAATACTAATGGCTTTAAATTCAGAATCAGAAGTTTGGACTGGATTTTACCAAAAATTTAACATATGAAAAGATGCTTAATACTTTTAGTGAGGAAAATGAGAAATTGGAGGCTCATATTTTTAAAATACCATTGAAAAATAGAAACAACATAAATATCCACAGCTTTGTGACTTATAGATATATGCATTAGAATATTACACAACTGTTAAAAAGATAAGGGGACTATTTACAATGATACACAATTATCTTCAAAATGATAATTTTGGTAGTAAGTAAAAAGTGTAAGATGGAAAATAGTTTGAATAAAGTCATATCACTTTTAAAAACATGAAACATGTATATGCTAATCTCAGAAAGTGGTAGAGACAGGTAATATATTGTTATAATGGTAATATTCAGTATCCGGCCTGAAGGTGTTGAAAGGTGACTCGATTTTTGTGTACACTTTGTACTATTTGGATTTTGAAACCTTCTTCATTTGTTAGTAGATCAATTAAAATTAAATACAATAGAGGAATACATTACTATTCAAGCAAAACACTGAGTCAATATCTCCAACTCAGAGTGATCTCCTAAGCTCAGGCAAGTGGATCTGGCTGACTATGGAGTATCTCCACTTGGATGATTTCATCAAGTCAACATGACCGAAGATTAACTCAGCCTCTCCTTTTCAGCCACCACTCTTTGGCTTACACATTATCTATCCAGAGGCTTCCTCCCTGGCCTGATGTGTGCTCCTATCTCCTGGGAGGGCATGGCTCCACTCTGCTGCCACCGGCCCATACATCCAACATGGTATCAAGCACAGCCCACCTGTTAACCCACTGTATCCTCACTGGATAAGGGAATCCATCTCCAGGATTATGTGTGATTTAATAAAGACAGTTCTTCACAACAATTACCTCCTAAGATGCCTAACACATCATTAACTGAACTAAAATACCACTTAGAGAAGCACTTCTGTAGGTTTGCTACCTGTTGTGGAAAGTAATATAATATTTCCTTTCATTCATTCTTAAATGGCTTCTTTTGATTTTACGATCTGCTGCCTAATTCTGCTCTTCTGAGATCTTACGAACAAGCCATAATTACTGTTTCCATAATGCCAATTATTTTATGGATTTCAAAGTGAAAGATTAATATGGAGAAGTGATATGATTTAAGACACAAGAGATAGATATGTATTTAATGTGGCTAAGAAGGAATTCCCCTTGCTAGTTTAAATCATAAAACAATCAGCTAACTAAATTTTTGGATGAATAGAGAGATACGTGCATCTAAGCTATATATTTATGTATAGAAATAATCAAGCAATAAACAGACAGCTGAACCAACACTCAAGAAAGAAAAATTCTCATGTTCCTAGTAAAAAAGATCTAGTGGAAACAGAGTTGGGACACTGAGCAACCGCTGAATCTGGGGGTCCCTTAACGTCAGTGAATTTCCTTCTAATCTTTGGGGATGGAACTATAGACTTTTGCCTACATGGAGCTGGAACTACTGAGGAACAAGAAACTGGCATTTACAATGTGTCAATGTCACACCTGAAACATGGCTAAGAAAACACACATGCACACACACACACTGACTTAGATGACTTAGATAAGAGGTAGGAATATTTAAAATCTTATAGGAATTGTGCTTAAAAATAATTATCTGTAAAAAACATGGAGTTAAAGATTACATATGTAATTTTGAGGTTCAAATTTATGTTTTCCCCATGAGATGTATACCTGAAGCAGATAAAGTAACTTAAAAAATAGCTTAGGACTTAGAAGTCCATAATGTCCTTTCAGTCTTCCACAGTTCACTACCCAAGACATGTAAGACTGACACAGAAAATAACTAAGGCCAGAACTGAGTGTACATTTACAAGCTTTGGTCGTCCATAATTAAAATAAAATAGAATTTTGCCCAAGTAGAATTTTTAGATAAGAAAAATATAATTGTGTAATAAAATGAAACAAGGTTTCTGTGATCAATCTGAACAACAGACTAGAGGTAGTTGATGAAAGAAAAAGTGAAAAAACATCAAATTGCTAGACTGATCTGAGAAAATTACCCCGAATGTAAAACATTATCCTTATAAAATTTACCAAAAGGTCAAATATATTTTCAATTCTGATTCTCAAACTTAATAGATTTGTGATTCTGAAGATATAATCTGTTGTGTCTCTACTTCTCTCATCTCTAAAATTAGAATTCACAATACATGACTTCAAACTCACTGAGTCAAATTAAATGAGATTACGGTTGTGAACGTCATACCAGAGTGCACATAGAAAGCATCCCATTAATGTTATCATAATCAATATGTGTGTTAACACATACTTTTGTGATACCCTTGATTCAGTTCCTTACTCTACTCTAAATCACCACTAAAAGTAAGATTTTTTAGTTCTTTATTCTTGTAAGTTAATGTCTAAAACTTGTGGTTTTAGATTTTAAGGAATACACTAGACTTAGTTTTTAGAAAGATTATTTGTCTAATTTTAATACATTTTTGACCCCTTTCGTGCATACTTAGAAAACATTCTAAAATGACCTTCAGGATTTACATTCCCAAAATAGATCATTGTTTTTTTTAATGTTTGAATAGTGCATTATAGTTATACATAATATGAGGCTCATTTTGATATAATTCTAAGGTCCAGAATATTATTTGCTCGACTTCAGTCCCCAGTACTACCCCTTTCTTTTCACCCCTTGATTCTCTTCCTCTACTCTACTGGTCTTCCTATATTTATTTATTTTTTTTTTAAATTGGTGATTTGTAGATATCCATAAAGGTGGAATTCACTGTGGCATGTTTATAGATGTACACAGTGTGATTTTGCCAACTGATTTTGAATGACACAAATTTATGAGGAGGAGGATGGGGTGCAATGTCATGTTGACTTTGTAGAGACATAGGAACATGTTTAGAAGGAGGCAGAAATAACAGAAGGAGATCTCATTCTTTTAAAAAATGGAAATGCAGCATTAGTGCACAAAATGTTTAATCAAGAAGTTTTCTAAATTCAATCTTCTGTGTACATTAGCATATTAAATGATCTGAAAATCTTTGCAGTAAAGACATTTTTTAAAGAAATTTTACCTCACTATTGTGCAAACCCATTGACCATTGACCATTCTATAAAATGCTCACTTAACCTCTTTACAGGTTATCTTAGAAATCCCTAACTTGCAGTTTCTCTGTGCACATCGACCCCCATCCATGGCTTGCTGGGTCTCAGTTCCACTGTTTTGTGTCCACCCTTTGAATTTGAGGCATGTGCAGTTAGTTATTCATCATTTTTGTGGCTTGAAGTGCAAAGTCCTGGGAAACTTGCCACTCCCTGAGCTGTTCTGTTGGTTTTGGACATTGTTCTTTGGAGACCTAAGCCAAAAGGCTGCCCAGGGGTCGACTGAAAGCCACCTGTCATGTGCAGCAAATGTCTTTCTTTGGTCATTAATTGCTAAAAAGCTTAGAAGTTTGTAGCAGTGTGTCAGTGGGCAAAGGGCAATCCACTCTTTTGTTTTCTGTTTGGATTGTTAAGTGTGTGGATGGAAACTACCTTCACGCATGCACAAAGCAAAGGAACTTTTGTGTTAGACATCTAACATTCAAACCTCCACTCTGGCCAAACACCAGTTTCCTGACACCTAGAAAGATAACTTCTAAGTGTCAGGTTCCTTTCCTGCAAGATGAGAATGATATGTATTTCTTACACATTTCTGTGAAGCTTCAAGATAATGTAGAGTGGATTTTTTTTTGGAAAATTTTTTATTTAAAATAAATAGAAAGATATTAAGACACATATTCGTATATCTTAGTTTCTGTGGGTCAGGAGTCCAGGAACTAGCATGCTGTGTAAGTCCTCTACAAGTCTGCAGTCAAGGTACTGGGCAGACTGTGGTCTCATTTGAAGGCTCGACTGAGAAAAGCGTCACTTCCAAGCTGCTGTGGTTGCTGGTTTACTTCCTGGCTATCACTTAATGGCTGCCCTCAGTTCCTTGCCATATAGACCTTTTCATGTGGCAGCTTATCTCATTGAAGCCAGCAAGGGCAAGTCAACAGACAGAAGTCACAAATCAGAAATGACATAATCATGGAAGTGAAATCTCATCACCTTTGTATTGTCTAAATGAGAGAAACAAGTCACAGTTCCACTTCTCAGGATAGAAGATTATACAAGATCAGACTCCCTTCAAAAAAGGCCATAACTTGAGGGCCATATTAGAGTCAAATGAAATCAAATCACAAATATTGGGTTTTATTTGTATTTTTGCCTTTTATGCTGTGTTCCCTCCTCTTCCCATATTCCTCTAATTCCATCATCTCCCATTGCTACTCTCAGGTGATCAATTTAAACAAGCTGGTTCATATAATCTCATATTTTTTCTCCAATCAAATACAGAAAGGTAGAATAGTTCACAGATGTATATATGAACATATATATGTGTACATGTACATATTTGTGCATGTTATATATTTAGGGAAATATATAATTTTTCATTTAACAATGAGATTATATTATACCTACCTTTTTGCATACTGTTTTTTCCACATAGCTATACATCATGGGAATTGTTTCATGTCAAGTAATGTAGTACTAAGTTGCATAATGTTCTGTAATATTCTCTGTAGTCAACCATTCCTCTTCTAATCAAAATTCACTTAGCTTCCAGGTTTTGGCAAAACAAACAGTGATGCAATAAATATCCTTGTACATGCATCCTTACCTACGGATACATTTGTTTCTCTGGGACAGTTTCCCACAGTGGAATGTGTGGGTCAAAGGATAGTTTTAACTTAATAGATATTGCCAGATTGCTTTCCAAAAAAAGCTATAATAATGCACATTTTCACCAGCAATATATTAAAATGGCCCTTTCCTCTGTATCGCTGCCAGCAGTAGGTATTATTGCTCTGCTCAGTGCTTGCCAGTCTGATGGGCATAAAGGGATATCTCATTACTTTAATTTGCACTCACTGATGATTGGTAAGGTTGAGTATTTTAATGTTTGCTGGCCATTTGGAATTGCCTTTTTGTACACTGCTTCTATACAGTCTTTGCTAATTTTTCTATTGGGATGCTTTGAAAGAGCTCTTTATATAAAATGGATGTTAATCTGTATCAGTTATATTAATATTTTCCTTCAGATTCATCATTGTTCTCTATTCACATACCTGGAGAATATTTTCACATGCAGAGTTTTAAAAAGTTTGTATGGTCCATAAACACGTATTTTTTGACACGAATGTTAAATAATACATGAGTGTCCTAAATATTCCTTTTCTAATGTATTATGGTTCTATTATTTTTTAAAATTAAATTATTACTCCTTTCAGCATTATTTTGGGTTTTGGGTAAGATAGAGATTAACTGTATTTTCTTCTTCAGAAAGAGCTAATTATTTTACCACAATTTTTAAATAATTTATGCCTTTCTACTGGTCCAAATATTACTTTTATCGTGTATTAGAAACTTATTTCTCCTCAGTTACAGTTCCAGTGTTTCCAGGATGTTTCACTAATGTGTCTAATTTTATGCCAATACTCTAATGAACTGATCTGGATGGATATGTCAAATGATCTTTTATGTGAGTCATTTTCCATTTCTGTTCTTTCTTTGCATGACTTTCTGGCATTATTTTTATCCATATAAATTCAGAATGATTTTATTCAATTTCAAAAGGAAAGATATAGTGGAACTATAATTGGCATTATGTTAAGTAATATGCTGATTTTAGAAGAATCAAAACTTTTAGAAAATTTATCAACCATTTAATGCCTTTCTCTTTGTTCAGAATTTGATTTATATCTTTTAATTTTGTAGAAATTTTACTTATAAAGCTTTTTATTACTTTATTGTGTTTATTCCTAAGACTTTATTGTTCTCTTTTCTGTCATTATGAATATAATTTCTGTTCTATTTTAATTTCTAGGTGCTTATTGTCATATCAGCCAATTTTTTTTTCAAAATGTTATCATGTAAAATTGTCTTTATCAATCAAAGGAGAACTTAGCTTTTATTTTAATTACAGGCTCATGCGTTTTCTAGGTATAAACAATTTTATCTAACAGAGAAACATTTACCATTATTTTTATCATGCTTATATTATTTTAATTTATTTATGCAAGAATTTTAAGAAAATATTGACTGACAATTATGTTCTTACTCTTGGTTTAAATTGAAATGGTTTTAGCGATTTGTGATTGAAAATATTGGTAAAATTAACAAATATTTTTTATCCCTATTTTGCTTTCTAAGGAATAGCTAATGACTTTTATAATTCGATTTCCCAGAAGAAATGCTACTTCATGGAATATGTTGATACCTTCATGAAATCTATCAGTCTACTTTATTTAAGCCTTTTGCATGTACATTTACAAGAAATGGCATTGATTTTTTTTCTGATATCCATTTACTTTAATCAAAAGCACTTCAATGAGATACAATTTATATACTATAAAATTCACCTATTCGCAGCATACAATTCAATGATTTTTAGTAAATTTGCAGTCATAACAACTATGACCACAATCTTGATTTAAAATATCCCTTGTTGGGTGAGGTGTGGCTCTTGTGATGGAGTACTGGACTGTGACATGTGAGGCCCTGGGTTCCATCCCCAGCACAGCAAAATATGTAGTAGTGGTAACAACAATAATATCATTGTACCCACAAGTGGCAAATTCCTGCTTTCACCCAAACCTTAGGTTACCATTAATCTGTTTTCTCTGCTTATAGATTTGCTTTCTAGGAACATTTCATATAAATGAATCATATAATATGTGCTTTTTATGTCCTGATTCTTTCATTTGAGATACTATTTTGGGTATGACATGCTTTTTGAGGTCATGCATTTTGTAACATATATCATTATTTCACTTTTATTTTTTTGTACCAGGGATTGAATCCAGGGGTGCCACATTCCCAGCCCTTTTTTATTTTGAGACAGGGCATAGATAAGTGGCTGAGGCTGGCTTTGAACCTGTGATCCTCATGCCTCAGCCTCCTGAGCCACTGGGATTACACCATGTCCAGCTATTTTACTCTTTCCTTCTAAAAGACATATATTTTAATTTAGAAATTAAGGTTAAGAAGACTTCTTAAAATGACTTGGAATATTTTTTTAATATTTTTGACGCTCTATAAATAATTTTATAATATTAAAATTAACTTTTCCTTAAAGAAAAGCTAGGATTTATCTATGAACCCTTTGGTGAATTCCCCTATCAGATGTGTAATTGTTTTTCTATTGTTTGTATATTCATCAATCAATTTAGGTTTCTGTTTCTTCCTGGATCAACTTTAATAATTTATGGTTTGCTGGGAAATAATTTATTGTTTTCTAGGATTTCAAATGTTTGCTGTGTATTCTTTTATCTGTTTTACTTGTCCTTAACCAGTGTGTTTGTAACAATACTCTATTTCTTGTCCTTAACCTTATATTTTATTTCTTCCTTCTTTCTCTTTTTTCCCTCTCCCTCTTTCCTCTGCTTTCCTTTCCATTTTCTCATAAGGCTCATAAAGTAGTTTATTGTCTTTTCAAGCAATAGTTTATTTAATTTCCATAATCTTTTTGCTAGTTTTAAATGAAGCTTAGCTTTTTTTTTCTTTCTTCTAACACATTATAGTGTATATATTGATGGGATACATGTGATGCTTTGATAAATGCATACATTGCATAATATTGAAATTAGGGTACATATACACTCGTCTCTCTTCTTGTGAACAGCTATCATTTCTTTGTGGTTCGAACACTCAATATCTTTTTCTCTAGGATTTGTGTGTGTGTGTGTGTCAGTATTTTCACCTGGGGGTGCTTAACCCCTGAGCCACTTCCCCCAGCCCTTTTGTCAATTTTTTTCTTTTTTTTTTTTAACTCTCAGTTACTTAGAGCCTTTCTAAGTTGCTGAATCTGGCTTTGAACTTGAAAGCCTCTTGCCTCGAAAGCCTCTTGCCTCAGCCTCCTGAACTGCTGGGATTACAAGCAAGTGCCACCATGCCTGGCTCTTCTAGCCTTTTTTGAAATATGCATTATTGTTATCAATAGTCACCCTGTCATGCAAAAACCCCCAGAACTTCTCTTATCTAGCTATAACTTAGTGCCTGTTGAAATACCTTTTCTGTTCCTCCCTCCCGTCAGTTCTACCCAGCTGCTGGTAACCACCCTGCTATTCTCAACTTCTCAGTGATCCACATTTGAGGTTCTTCTTATGAACGGGATCAAGCAGTATTTGGCATTTCTTTTTTGTTTTTGATTCATTCTTCCTAGGGTTTTTGTTGTTGTTTTGTTTGGGTAATTGTTCTTTTGCTGTTCTTTTGATATTCTTCTAAAATCATAATCTAAGTAATATCTACTACTTCCATTTTTAATATCTTCGTAAATCCACCCTAATGTGAATTGTACATTATGCTAAGTTTTCTGTTTTTGGTAAATAGCCTTTTCATTTATTTCTGCATAGATTTTATTATCAGGTTTGAATTACTCCACACCCTTAGTCCTACTAGCATTACTAGGGGTTAAACCCAAGGAGAATTTATTGCTGAGCTATAGCCTCAGTTCTTTTCATTTTTAATTCTGAGACATCTTAAATGCTTAATCGCTAAACTTCTGAGGCTAGCCTTGAATGAGCAATCCTCCTGCCTCAGCCTCCAGAATCCCTGGGATTAAAGGCATGTGCCACCACATCTTCATTTTGATTTACTTTTTGATTCAAGGAATACCTATTAGTTTTTTTTTTCTCAATTCTAAGCAAAGAGATTATTGTATTAATTTTTTAATGTTACATTTAATTTCATGGATTTTTAATCACAGAATGTGGTCCATCAAATCTTTAAATTTGATAAGGATTTACTTATTAAATATTATATGGATTCACAAAAATATATGTTATTTCTTTTAAAAATATTAAAGTCTGTTATTAAATAAAATAATTAATTGTATAACTAAATTCCTTCATGTCTTTAGTTATTTCTGCTTGCTGGATTAATTCAAAATAAATATAAGAAATCTTTTGCTATATTGGATACTTAACCAAATTCTCCTTGATTATCTAGTGGATTCATGTAAGATGTATATATTTAGCTGTTGTGTTATTTAGTATGTATGGGTTTATGATAGTAGTAACTTCTACATTAGTTGAATCTATTATCATTATATTATATACACTTCAATTTTTTGTTTTTATTCTTAAATTGCACTTTGATTGCATTAATGTAGTCATTTCTTCTCTCAGTTTTGCTCTTTCTTGTTTAATATCTCTTTTTATCCTTTATTACTTAAATTTTAAACACATTTTAAATGCACCTTTAAAAAAACAAATGGTGTGTGTTAAACCAATATTTCATCCTTTAAATCACTTCCAATGGAAAAATTTAATCCATTCCCAAATATGTATATTAATTTTATTTCTCCCATCTTCATATGTATTACTTAATGCCTCTGGTGACTTCCTAATATTTGGGGGGAGGAGGATACTCTGGCCCACTTGACCACTGAGCCACATCCCCAGCCCTATTTTGTATTTTATTTAGAGACAGGGTCTCACTGAGTTGCTTAGCCTCTCACTTTTGCTGAGGCTGGCTTTGAAATCACAATCCTCCTGCTTCAGCCTCCTGAGCTACTGGGATTACAGAAATGCACCACAGTGCCTGGCTTTTCTACCAGTTTGCTGAAGTTGGGCTTGATTCCGTTTCTCAGCTTCTTAATTTGGATATTCTAGTACATTTTGCATATTCTGACTGAAAAACCTTTCACTTCCAAAGACTCATAATCAGACTTCCCTAATTTACTAATAAGACTTCAAGTCTTTCCTAAGCCATATATCAATGAAGCTCCACCTCCTTGCCCTTCTTTGAGATGAGACCTTAGAATACTTCCATCTTCCCTTTCTCCTTTTATTCTTATTATTGTTCAACCCTCACTCAGATTGTGCCTTTCAAAAATTCCTTTTTCATTCCCTCTCCCACCTCTGATTTCACAGAGCTAATTAACTCTGTTCAGATGAAAGTTATTATAATTTTCATTGCAGATGCTCCTTCTGTTTTAATAAACCACATTAGTACTCTATTTCGTATGACCAGAGAATCTGTCATTGTTCATTTAGATATATGTGTGTACACCACGGTCCATTGCTCACCACATGTTCCTCTCTTCTCCCATTTCTCCTACTTTGAGATCTCTATTCTAATGGATCTGTTCTTTGGAATTGGTCATTGAGTATTTTCTTCTGATGGAATAAGTGATCTACTCTGAATCTTAATGTCTTTGCAACTGTATTTCTTTTGTCCTGACAAACAAATAATAATTTGACTAAGCATTGAGCATTTCCATTCTAGCTCTTTTAAAAATTTTCAAATGTTTTCCTACCTTCACCTAACCTCCATTCTTATAGATAATAAGAGCAATGACAGTCTGATTATTTTTCATGACAGTAGAGTGCATTTTGGCATATTGTACCTACAAGAAGTATTATTTATTCTAATTGGGATTTGGTTAGTTTTCCATTTTAGGTAATGTTATGGACTACATTGTGCCCCACCCAAAATGTACATATTGAAGTCCTAATCCCAAAGTGGCTGTACTTGAAGATAGGGTCTTTAAGGGGGTACTTACTTGGAAGTGAGGTCATAAGGCAGTAGCCATAATCCAAAAGGACTAATGTTCCTATAAGAAGAGGAAGAGACACAAGAGATCTTCCTCTCAGCTCAGCATCCAGATGTAAAGACAGAAGACAACTCAGCAGAGAAGTAGCTGCTACAAAACACGAGAGTCTCACCAGAAATCAACCCTGCTTGTACCTCGTCTGGACTTCAGTCACCAGAACTATGAGAAAATAAATTTCCACCACTTCAGCCATCCAGTCTCAGGTATTCTGCTGTGACGGTCCTTTTTTCTTTTTATTTGAATGTTTGTAAGATTGTCCCTTTAGCATTAGAGTTCTAGAATTTTGTCAGGATGAACCTAAGTGTGCATCTTTTTTCATCAACTCTGTCTGGAACTTGCATTATTTTAATTTCTGGATATATTCTTTACCTCCAACCCTCAGGGAATTTTTCCTTCTTGGTCACTTATTTCTGCTTTTCTTTCTTTTTTTTCCCCCTTTGTAAAATCCTATTATTTGCATGTTTCATCTCAAGGTGTTTGTTTGTTTTTAATCTATGATGATTTGAGATATTTCTTCTCACTAATATTCCAGTGAATGGATTTGGGTCTTAGTAATGGCTGACTATTCTCTCAATCATTTAATTCATTGTACTTTTTTATTTCAAAAATTATGATATAAGGTATCTAGACAAGATTTACTAGTATTGTGCTAGAATTCTTTTTACCATTTGTTTTATTCAAGAAATTCTAACTTACCTGACAATTTTCTTCTTCCATTAAATAATTTACCTCTTCATGATTGACATCATAATACTCATACAGTCTTCACTGGAAAATGTCTGATGTCACTGCTATGGCCCAGGAAATCTGTGAATAGGCATAAAGAACATAATTAAGAAAAATTCATTTTTACTCTCACTGAGCTTATACTTTAGGGTTATGCACAAGTTTCATACAAACCAATAGTGAATATCTGAAAACAAATAATGTATGCTATAAGAGGAAATAAAAGACTACTAGATGAAAAATTTACAGTGCAGAATGGAAGTGTAGTGATTGTTCTGAATGCTGTGGTTATGACAGTTCCCCAAGGTATAAAATGAAAGTTGGGTTGGTCAGTGAGAGATTTCAATGGAACCCTACTGCAGACAGAAGAACACATTTATATAGAGTTTGGTCTCTTTCAGGAGCTGAAAGGAGCCCCCAAAGCTGAAGCAAACTGGATTTGTGAGGTGGTGTAAGAATGTAGCCTTCATTGTAAGACCATGAAGAGCTGCTGTCATGTGGAAGAATGGAGCAGCATTATCCAACTTTCAAGTGAACAAGATGACTGTGGATGCCATTAAGAGTACTGGTGGTAGATGGACCATGATTTTAGTGCTATCTAAAAGGGGGGGTCCTTAAATTTTTACCAGAAAGGGAAAAATGGTAACTATTTTAGGCTTTGCAGCTTGTAGGGTTTCTAATTTAAGTAAACTACCTATGTTGCATGTAAACTTACAGACAATACATAAATAAATGTCTGTGACTGTATTTTGATAAAATATTTCTAAGAACAGGTAGTGGGCCTAGCTTTGGCCTGCAAGTAGTGGTCTGATGATCCACAGTCTAAACATTTCAAAGTTTCTCTAACTTACCCGCAAAGACCATCACTGAAACGATGATCTCAAAATTCTGTGATGTGTCTGGTAGACTGATCCCCATGACTAGCATTTGGTAGGTACTCAATAAATATTTTTGAAGAGTAAGCATTGCAGAAAGACATCATGTTTGTGTCATCAGGGAAGTAAATTTCATTTATTCAACCTTTGACTTTTTGTCACTGTCAGGTTCCTGCCCATAACAGAGCATATTGTAGAGTGATTAAGAGTAACCAACAATGGACAATCAGCCTAACGGGAAATACAGAAAACTTGTGTTGGCTTGTATTCTTCTCAATATCCCATTTCTTTTCCTATCAATGGAGAGATATACATATGATAGACTTCATTCACTCTTGTCTTTGACTTTATTAACTCTTTTGTTAGGATATAGTTAAATAGGTTCTTGTGCCTTAATTTAGCTGCTATTCACTATATAATATTTATGTAAAAGTACAACGGATCTTGTGATAATTGAATGCAGCATAGTTCAGAGACACAAGGACCTAAGTAGCATGCTCAAATCAAGATGGTAAAATAGAGGAGGTCGAGTTCCTGACTGCTCCTTTCTTGGCATGAAACCAAGGAAGCAGACAGGCAGCTTCTCCACAAAGTGGGTAAACAAACAGACCAAAAATGGGTGAGTCTTTGTTGGAACTTAAAACTGGACATTCAAAGCAGACAAGGGACATAGGACATTGGATATAATAAAATAAGGGGAAAAATCCCCAGCAGCACAGATACTGCCACAGCCAGGCCAAAAGCACCAGCCAGAGAGGTTCCTCCGTGAGCATAGTGGAGGGATAAGGGAATTAAAGGAACATGCATTTTGGGGGAGACTGAAAGCTTGTCTGGGTACAGAGCATTTAGAGACCAAGGACATTGCCCAACAAACCTGAAAGATGTGCTGCATGATCTCCATGTACAGGGAAAGAAACTGCTGTCTCTCTAGGCATCCAGCAGAGGGCAAAGGAAGGAACCATTTTGCAGCCTTGGCAAGGAGGCTGGCAGCCGAGGAAGCCAGTTCTTGGCAAATTCAAGTTTGGCCCCAAACACAGGCCCAGTAAACACACACTGCACAACATAAAGTGTGCTTAAATGATCAGAAGAAAAGTAAACATGGAGGAAGGTTTACAGAGGGCACAAATGGTCATAGAAACCCACCTGGCTCTATCGCTCCCCCTCAAATTTGACCACTTGCAGGACCTGCTCAGATAGACACATCTGGCCAAGATCTCAGTGGGGCTGGAGTGGGAGAGATTGGACTGAACCCAAGACCAGGAAACAAGGAGTGTGCAGGTAATGTAGGGGACTGAGAACTGGCTCCCCACCACATGAGTGGAACCCAGGGGACATCACTAGGATAAAGTTTTCTAGTATGAACCAGCAAGTACTGGGCACTGGAGGTGTGCTGACTTAAACTCTCCAGACCAACTGGCATTCAGTGAAGAGACTGGAACCTGCCTAAATCTAAGCACCACCTCTAGGAACTCCTACTATGGGATTCCTATCTCACTCTAGCAACCCAGAGGGTGGAGCATCACCCTCCAGATAACTCCACCAAGCAGTACGGAGATTCCTGGGAAAGCTGGGAATGGAACCACCATTTGACCCAGCTATTGCCCTTCTCAGACTATTCCCTGAAGACCTTAAAAGAGCGTACTACAGGGATACTGCCACATCGTTGTTCATAGCAGCACAATTCACAATAGCTAGACTGTGGAACCAACCCAGATGCCCTTCAATAGATGAATGGATAAAAAAAAATGTGGCATTTATACACAATGGAGTATTGTGCAGCACTAAAAAATGACAAAATCATGGAATTTGCAGGGAAATGGATGGCACTAGAGCAGATTATGCTAAGTGAAGCTAGCCAATCCCTAAAAAACAAATGCCAAATGTCTTCTTTGATATAATGAGAGCAACTAAGAACAGAGCAGGGAGGAAGAGCAGGAGGAAAAGATTAACATTAAACAGAGACATGAGGTGGGAGGGAAAGGGAGAGAAAAGGGAAATTGCATGGAAATGGAAGGAGACCCTCATTGTTATACAAAATTACATATAAGAGGTTGTGAGGGGAATGGGAAAAAAAACAAGGAGAGAAATGAATTACAGTAGATGGGGTAGAGAGAGAAGATGGGAGGGGAGGGGACGGGGGATAGTAGAGGATAGGAAAGGTAGCAGAATACAACAGTTACTAATATGGCATTATGTAAAAATGTGGATGTGTTACCTATGTGATTCTGCAATCTGTATTTGGGGTAAAAATGGGAGTTAATAACCCACTTGAATCTAATGTATGAAATATGATATGTCAAGAGCTTTGTAATGTTTTGAACAACCAATAAAAAAAAGCAAAAAAAAAAAAAGAGAAGCTGAGAATATTTTAAACTCCAATGGAAAGAACTTTTTAACCTTTCATCCAGATTTACTTTTCCTTTTCTTTTGTTTTTCTTTCATTCTTTTTCTCTGTTTGATTGTGACCTTCATGATACATGGACATTTATACAGTTTCATATTTCTTTTCTCAGTTTTAAGATTTTTGGAGCCAGTTATTTTTCACAAATTCATTTTTTAACTAGGATCTTTGATTAGTATATTTTGGTTTTGTTTTATCCTTTTAATTTTATTTTTTATTTTAAAAATTGTTGCTACATATATACATATGTGTGTGTGCATGTGTATAATGATATATGTGTGTGTGTATCCTACCTGTTTCCCTTGATTCTCTCTTTTCTTCTATTAATAGTGAATTTCCATTGTTTTTTCTTCCATTCTTCCTTTAATCTTTTACTTCTGTCTTTTCTCCTCTTCCCTCATAATCATCACATCGTATATCATTTCTGTTCTCTCCATGTCCACAATTTCAAGTTGTAAAACCTTTTGCAAACTTGCTATCTGCATTATAGGCAATGACTGATCATATCATTTCTGTTTATTGTGATAATAGTTACTGTAGATGTCACAGTAGGAACTATTTGGTTCAATGCTGCTTATTGCTTACATTGGTTGTTGTCTCCCCCTAAATAGTGAGGTACTAGAAACCTTTAGATATACTATAAATCCACAGGGTAGAAAATCTACTGCCTCAGATCCATACTATTAGATGGGCAGACACAAAAACAACATGAAAAAGCAAGAGAACAAATCACCCTAAGCAAACTAAGATACTCCAATAACAGAACCACTGACACCACAGTGGAAGAAATGTCAGAGAAGGAGTTTAGAATGTACATACTTAAACTGATCTGTGAAATAAAGAACAGTATAAGGAATGAAATCAAAGAGAAAATACAGGAGTGAAAGATCACTTCAATAAAGAGGCAGAGATCCTGGGGGAAAAAAGCAGAAATCCTTGAAATGAAGGAAAAAATAAACCAAATTAAAAACAATAAAAACATCACCAACAACAAGACCATTTGGAAGACAGAACCACAGGTAATGAAGACAAAGTGTATAATGTTGAAAATGGAGTTGATCATGGAGAGAAGATGTTAAGAAACTAAGAACAGAACTCCTGAGAATTATAAGATAACATCAAAAGACCAAATTTAAGATTTATCAGGATAGATGAAGGTGCAGAGATACAAACCAAAGGAATGAACAATTTTCTTAATGAAGTAATATCAGAAAAATCCCCCAATCTAAAGAATGAAATGGAAAATCAAATACAAGAGGCTTACAGGAGCAACAAATGTACAAAATTATAACAGACCCACAGTAAGTCACATTGTAATGAAAATGCCGAGCTTACAGAATAAATATAAAATTTTAAAGACTGTGAGGGGAAAATATCAGATTATATCTAGGGAGAAACCAATTTGAATCTCAGCTTATTTCTCAACCAAGACCCTTAAAGCTAGAAGGCCCTGGAATAATGTGGAATATTGTATACCAAACTCTGAAAAAACATGGGTGCCAACCAAGAATTCTATATCCAACAAAATTAAGCTTCAGATTTCAAAATGAAATAAAACTTTAGATGATAAGAAAAAGTTAAAAGAATTTGCAAGAATGCTTGCATTATTCAAAAAATATGTCATGAAGATGAAATTTTTTAAAAAGTGAAAAACAGCAAAGGGAGGAACTATTGTAAAGGAATAGTCAATCAAAGGAGAAACCAATTCAAATTCAAAATTATAAGCAAGCCAAAGTGACTGGGAATACAAATCATAACTCAATAATAACCCTGAATGGCCTAAACTCATTAATCAAAAGACATACACTGGCAGATTATATTAAAAACAAGACATAACAATATGGCTTCTCCATGAAACTCACCTCAGAGGCAAAGACCCACAGACTGAAGGTGAAAGGATGGGAAGAAACATATCACTCACATGGATCAGGTTTCTATCCTCATATCAGATAAAGTGGACTTCAAGCCAAAGATAATCAGATGGAACAAAGAAGGACATTTCATACTGCATGATTGAATTACACATCAATAAGACATAACAATCATAAATATTTATGCTCCAAACAATGGAGCATCTATGTACCTCAAACAAATCCTTCCCAAATTCAAGAAACAAATAGACCACAACACAATAATACTTGGTATTATTGTGAACACCTCTTTCTCTACTGAATAGATTCTCCAAAGAAAAACTAAACAAAGAAACTATTGTCAAAATAATGCAATCAATAATTTAGACTTAGCAAACATATATAATTATATTTCATCCATCAATGAGCAAATATACTTTCTTCTGAGCAGCACACAGATCCTTCTCTAAAATAGGTCACATCTTAGGGCACAAAGCAACTCCTAGCAAATACAAAAAAAAAAAAAATGGTGATAATACACTGCATTCTATCAGATTATAATGGAATGAAATTACAAATCAATGACAGAATAAAAAGTAGAGGCTACCCTAACCCCTGGAGACTAAATAATATGCTATTACATGATGAATGGCTATCAGAGGATATCAGGGATAAAATTAAAAAAAATATTTAGAGGTAAATAGAATAGTGATACAACATATGAAAATCTCTGGGACACTTTGAAGGCAGTACTAAGAGGAAAGTTCATTGCATTGAGCTCATTCATTAAAAGCATGGAAAGCCGATGAATAAATGACCTAACATCACAACTCAAAGCTCAAGAAAGAGTAGAATAAATCAGCACCAAAAGCAGTAGAAGACAGGAAATAATTAAAATAA